TTGGATAGATAGATAGATAGATAGATAGATAGATAGATAGATAGATAGATAGATAGATAGATAGATAGATAGATAGATAGATAGATAGATAGATCGATAGATAGATAGATAGATAGATAGATAGATAGATAGATAGATAGATAGATAGATAGATAGATCGATCGATCGATCGATCGATAGATAGATAGATAGATAGATAGATAGATCGATCGATCGATCGATAGATAGATAGATAGACAGACAGACAGACAGACAGACAGACAGACAGACAGACAGACAGACAGACAGGCAGGCAGGCAGGCAGACAGATAGTTTCTACCAATTGAAATAAATAAAAGATCATGTAAGTCATAATTATGAGGTAATTGCTTGTAAAAATTACTTTGTATTTCCAAATTAGAGATATCAAGTCATATATATGAGATAATGAGTTATAATTATGAAATATTGGTCATATGTATGAGATAATATTTTATTCTTTAAAGCAGCAAAAGTCATAGAGTCTTTCAAATTACTTGGATTGATTTTCCTTCAGAGTGGCAGTAACTGGCTTCCACAAAACCCAAACCATCACCAGATGTATTATTTATCACCTATAATGATAAACCTTTATTTGTTTATTTATTTATTTATTTATTGCTCCCTTTGGCTCAGAAATCCAAACATAGCAACTGCAGCAGCGCCACCCAGCGGTGGCCGCCCGAACACAGCTGTGCTGTAGCAACCTTGGTGCAAAATACAACAAAAACACACACAGCTGCCAACTTCACAGCAGTCAGTTCAGAGGAAGAAGCAGCACGAGCCTCTGCAGCTCTGAGGCTGTCTGTGATCACTGGGAGGAAACCAGTGGAAAGTGGAGAACAGAGCAAGGAGAAGAAAGAAAACTTCACCCACCTCCTGCACGGTCAGGGGCATGCAGATGCGGTACTCCTTCAGCAACATGATTTCCTCCACAGAGCTGATGAGAACACGGAGGAAGCTGCAGTGCACGAGCGTCAGTCTCTGTCTCAGTAAGAACCACTCTGATCTGAACAATGACCCCCCCCTCCTCTCAGTTCTGCAGCAGCATCTCCTCCAGCTGCTGCTCCGCAGTGTCCGGGGCTTTCTGCTCAGAGTTTCCTCCACATGGAACAATCCCACCACAACAAGCAGTCATCAGTTCTCTCAGGACCCCGGGATTACCACAGATTACAGCGCAAAGTCCAGAACAAGTCCCGTCCAAAGCTTCAAGCGTCTTTTCTGGTGGCTCTTTGACTCTCAGTTTAATTTAATTTAATTTTTATATTAACGAGCTTTTCTTCTGAGAACAAGCAGCTAGTGTTGATGGAGCTGCCTTTCCTTAATCACACCTCTCAGCTCGTCTCCTCCTCTGAGGGAGTTTTCTTCAAACAGCTCGAAGATGCGCGGAGCAGCAGCCGAACCAGAGAGAGAGACACGAGCGAGCCCCCAGCGCGCGCGCGCACCCCCCCCCCCCCCAAAAAAAACCCAACAACAAAAAAAAACACACACACACTGAAGGTACACTTTTTAAAAGGTGGTCCAATAACACCAAACAATAAATACATAACCAAACTTTTATTTCGCGTTCAACTCTTACAGAGTTAAAATGAATGGTCAGATTTCATTTGTGTGTCTTTATTATTTGACACAATCTGTCCTTCACATTCATACCGCAGAGAATTGTTGATTTCTTAAAGATTTCACATCCAGAAAACAAAACAAAAGTCAAAAACACACAAAAAATATTTTTAAGGTAAAACTTCTGATTATCTTGTGCCACCACCTTAAAGGTCACATTTTAAAAAGTGTGCCAAATATCCATCTGAACAAGTTAATAGATTTGATTTCTTTTTCACCCAAATGTGCAATTTGATGTTTATCACTTTATGTCTGCTGTTCACCTTTCATCATCATCATCATCACTCTGAGGTCCTGAACTGAAGCTGGTTCTGAAATTTAAAGAGAAGTTCTCATTTAGATGAATGAATAGCATCTCCATCTACTGTTTATCTGTAAGCAGGTCACAGAGGCAAAAGGTCCAGGAGACAAAACCCAGACATCCCTCCTCCAGGCGACACTCTCCAGCTCAGAGAGACGATATATAATCCCTCCAGTGAATTCTGGGTTTGTCTCTTACCAATAGGATGTGCGGGGAACACCTCAGAGGGGAGTACAGTAATCCAGGAGGCATCCTAATCAGATACCCAAACCACCTCAACTGACTTCTTTTGATGCTGAGGAGCAGCGGTTCTTCTCTGAGCTCCCCCGGAGCTGATCGCTCTAAATCTAAGGTTGAGCCATCCACCCAACGGAAGCTCATTTTAGTCGCTTGTGTCTGGGATCTCGTTCTTTCAGTCATGATCCAAACGTCATGACCGTAGGTGAGGGTTGGAACATATATACAGACCCGTAAATAGAGAGATTTGCTTTTTGACTCAATTTCTTCACCACGACTGACCAAAGCAACCCCCCCCATTACTGATGATGAGACCTCGATCTGCTACTATTATTGGTGAACAAGACACCAAATGTCAAAGATTGTAACCATTTATTCTTATAATTAGATTCTTTAACCTTTTTTACGAGTGTTAAAACTTGTTATGCAGCGTTTTTCATTAAAGTCTTAAGATAAATGATCTTTTTCATATTATTTAATAATCTGAACACGTGTGTAAAACACATTTCAGATCATGTTTCTTCTTAAGGTGAAAGTATAGGATCTCTCCTACTTTCTGCTCTTTGAATTTAAAGCAACATAAATCAGAAGTCAATGAAAGACCTCCACATACAAACAATATATTCAGTTATATTTATAGATACATTTAACAAATACTCAATAATGCTGTCAGTTTATTAGATCATCCCTAACATCATGAGAGCAGGAAAAGGGCCAGCAGGACCATCTTCTACCTGTTGATGTCACCAAAAATCTACAAACTGAAACCTGTCACTTTTCATTTGATTGCATTTCAAGAAAATTACAGAAGGTGCATTATAAATTTGCACTCAATGTTTTTTTTTTTACTTTAGGGTTGAGTTGAGGATAGAGTTGATGAATCATGGATTTAATGAGAATCATGCTACATTTGTAATTACTGCAGAGACGATGACAAACTTGTTTTTTGGTGATACCGCTATGTTTCTATATTTTATATTTATTAGAAACACAGACAGAGAGCTGTGAGAGTTCATCTACTTTGAATAAAAAAATCTCACTAAGTGAAGAATTTAAAATACTTGACAATTTTAGGGTGACACCTGTATGATTCATCTATAATACAGCAAATCTGCAGGATTATGAAGTCAAGACAAACATGTTTTTAATGGGAAACAAGTGTTTTCTCTCCATTTTACCAAAACTATCCAGATGAAAGGGCTTGTGGGCCACAAGAAAGTGAATTTAACTCAATGTGAACAACATTTTGGAGAAAGGGAAAAAGTTTACTACTTTTGGTGGAGAAACAGTTTTAAATTGTTGTAGATCCAAAATATTGAAAGCCTCAAAAACACTAAGCTTATATTTTTTATTTTAAATGATATAATTTATTTGATTTATTGGGTCTATGTTTGTTGTTTTCTTGTGTTTGTAAAGTTCATTTTAGTCTGTTCTCAGCAACAAAACTGTAAAATGAGTAAGTGTCCATTAAAAGAGGGGTCGACCAGCATTTTGAACCATGGACGGACCAAAAGGCTGATTGAAGTTCTGAAAATTTGTCCAGCTGTCAGTCACTACAACAGATTCATAGAAGATTTGATAAAGTTGATCAGCTCGTATGCAGATGATACCACGTTATATTAATTTAAAAATGTCCAATTTCCCTCTAGATTATTTTATCAACTGCAAAATGTATCCAAGTTTTATGAATTATTATCTAAAAGTCTCCTTTCTGGTAGAAATCAGTAAAGGTTTTTGATGCTTTGTGACATAAAAATAAACATTTTATAGCCCAAAGGTTTGTATTTTGCTTAATGTTGCTCATTTTGAGAAGATTGTTTTTTATCAGTTTTGCTGTTAAACCTAAACATTATATAAAAAAAAGATTACCGACTAATTAGCAGAAAGTCTGCATCGACCTCTTAAGCCTGAAGGCCAAAATGATACTATTCTTAAACTGCAGCTGTGGACCGCGCAAAATCACTCCAAGGGCCGCAAGTGGCCCCCGGGCCGCACTTTGGACACCTGGGCTTTATGATCCGATTGTGCTGTCTGTTTGCTTTAACTGACATAATCCCTCTTTTAGTTTTTATGTTTTTGAGATCTCAAATGATATAAAAAAATTAATGATTCTCGCATGTTATTTCAGCAAAATATTTGTTTGCCAGAAGTAAGTACTGATTTCAGCCTTTGGTTACTCTTAATTTACATAATTCTCACCTGCAGACAAAATACTTTTAGATTATTTCAGGACTTTTTAAAATCCTTTTTTCTATGAACACTCGCAGTAAACTTTTCTCTCAGTAGATGTCAAGAGAGCTCTTCAAACTCAGCTGAAATTGTCAAACTGGCAGCAGTCCATGTGTTTTCATGTTCTTTTATTGGGAGGGAACCACAAATGGGTTCAGTAATGAGTATTTTTATTTGAACTCAAGGAGGATTTTATGCAAAGTTGCAAATCTGTGCTTAGTGTTTGCTTACTTGAGAGATTGTCAACAGCATGTGTCTTGTGTTTGTGTGCATGCCTTAAAATTTAATAGATAAATGGAACTGTGACTGTCAGTACTCTGGAAAAAACAAATGATGAACAATGAATTTTTAAAACTTGGGAGGTGCAAGACTAATTCTCAATAAGTGAAAAATGTCTAAATCTTCATTTAGGCTTTAGATATAGAAATAAAAAGAAAACATTTAGGGCAATAGTGTTCCTTGTTGGTCATATATTTTCCTATGCAAAACTAAAATATTTTTAATTGATCACTTAGCAAATAAATACATACAATGATAAATCATAACTTTGTGTGTAAAAATGTTGGGCTTTATTTTTTACTCCCAAGAAAAGCTTTAACTGAACTAAGAGCACAAACAGCTGCTTTTTAGTTTTTTTTTATTATATTTTTTATTCCTTCTTTTATTTTTATACAACAGACAAATAAAGTTTGCTGGTTTACTAAATGAATCAAAAGTCTTGTGTGTGGCCAGAAGAGGGTGTGCGTCACTCGGAGTTGGCTGAACTGCAGCTCTTGCTTTTCCTGTCTGGAGTCGGACTGAGGAGCAGATTCATTCAGATCTGTGCTCAGGACAAGAACACGCAGCGCTCACATCACCTGGGAACGCACTAATGCAACAAAAAGAGTCGAAATGTTTTTCTTTGGGTGTGAAACTGACATGACAAAATACAGTTTTCAGGATTATTCTAGAACCAAAGTTGGCCTACATGAGTCTGAGCTCATGCACAGCTGGTGACAGAGCTGCTTTCAAGGCTTAGTAATGATATTTTAGTGCTATTATGATTAATAAATAACAGTAAGATCAGAATAAACTATAGAGTTAAAAACGAATAGCTTTGAAATTAGACAAGTGTGGGTAAATAAGATAAGATAATATAAGAACTTTATTGATCTTGCAGAAATTTGTTGGATGGTTGTCTATTATGGTCCTGCTAAGTCCAGGAGTAAATGGCAGGATGCACAACATATGAAGCCCAGACAACTGTATAGTTTAGACACAACTTTAATGGTCAACCAATCATCTGAACATAAGTGTAAACTGGAAGCCCTGGCTACAACAAACAAAAAGGAGGGAGAAGCCCCGAACCAGCCAGCAGTTGACCGTCTGATTCAGGCCGCTCCCCTCGTCCTATGACCCAGGGACTAACCCTGCAACCAAATACTGTAAATTTAAACCAAGCCGGTAACTCCCAGTCCACAGCTCAACCATAAAACAGTAACAGGTGCAACTACAGGTATCTCTGACAGGAGTGGGAGCGAGGCTGGAGAGCAAAACCAACAACCATCAGAACAACTTCTCCTCAGGCCTCTCATCCAGCAGGTGGAGCCTGGTCCTTTTAAACCGCTTCCGTCAATCAGCTGTTCAGACAGAGCAAATACACATCAGCATAAATGACACATGGACGCATCACACCTCCACCCCTAAATGCTGAGTGGCGAGATAACACAACA